CATGGGGTTTTTTACCATTGATTTACACATAAACACACACACCCACATGGGTGTGTGTGAAATCAATGGTAAAAAACCCCATGTGGGCAGTGCCCACATGGGTAGGCTCGAATTTTCTGTCTTGATGAGCACACTGTACTTTTAGTTTATTTCAAAGCAGAATTCATTAAAATATGTTCTCGTTAAAAGTTGCACAACTAGTTATACGAAATACTTCAAATACATGTACATATATATGACTTCCATTAAATCAGACAATTAGTTGAACAATTAATCAAGTGTCCAGTCACTTACTGTAACTTTGAATGATAAATGTCGGAATATCATTTTGTGAGTTGTCTACATTGATTCGATTTGCTCCGTTATGGAACCCTTCATAACTTTATAAATTGACATACGTCCAACGTGTATTTAACCAAAAACACGTGTCAATACATCATTTGTGAATAACTATGGATGACTCCATAAGCCGAGCCATTCGATAGTTGATTCTATATTGCAAATGAGCCTAACTGGCTACTCCTACATTTGTGAATTTTTTTTTGAGCAGCTCACCACCAAGTACAATTTCCAATAGAAAAAAATAATAAAAAAAACTTATCACCTGCAGCAAGTCCCGGCGGAGAGTAACTCCGGTGAGCCCCTCCTCGTCCTCTTCCCTGATAGCTGAATAATATCCACTGTCGTCCCATGCCCTCTGACTCCTCACATGATGCACCAGCCTGTACTTTGCCGTCCTCCCTGCCTCCCTCCGGCTGGTCACCACCACCCCCGCCGCCCCCCACCGGAAAACGCAGTTGAGCACCATCATCCCCGGGTCCCTCCCCGGATACCACCCCGTCGACAGCACCTCCGTGCTCAGCACCACCGCGTTCCCCGGCCGGCCGCCGACCCTCAGCACGTCCGCTGCCGCCGCCACCGCCAGCGCGCTCCCGCTGCACCCCATCCCGCTCAAATTGAAGCTCTTCACGTCCTCCCGCAGTCCGTACTCTCTCACCACCTCCGCCGACAGCGACGGCTCCGGGCAGAACCCGCTGCAGTTCACTATCAGAACGTCAATCTCACTCGGGCCGAGGCCCGTTTTGGATAATAGGGCCTCGAACACGGGGAACAGCGCGAGCCTGGCCTCGCGGGCCGCTTCCCCGTGGGAGGAACTCGGGGGGATCGTGTGGACGGCCGGGGGCAGGTACGTCATTTCGCCCTGCCCCGAGCGCTTGAGGACTTTTGACATGAAGGACACGCTCTCGCCGTCGAGGAAGTCGAGCATCGAGACGTGCTCAAGGTAGGTGGATTTCGGGACGCGGCAAAAGTTCGGGGGTTTGAAGCACGTGAAGTCGACGAGATACACGGGTGGAGGGGCCCGCAAGGCGCGGAATGATGATCGGGCGGTGATTAGTAGGAGTAAGAGTGAGGAAGGGAGAAAATGGTAAATGGGATTGAAGGTTTTCTGTGTGAGGAGCAAGGCAAATTGGGAGGTGATGAGAATGAGGAGTGTTGTGAGGGTTGATAGGTTCATGAGGTTTGTGAGGAGGGAGTTGATGATTTGGGATAGGAGGAGCTTTTGGGAAGATACATTGCTTGTATCTTTGTTGTTGTTTGGTTTGGCCATTTGAGTGGGGATCTTTAGGAATTGGACTTAAAAGAGTGGAGAAAAGTGACTGAGATGTTTGGTCTAAAGGAGGTGGGAATTGAGGTTTGTGTGGCAATTGTAATGGTGTAAAGATTTCTCAACTTGTGTATTTATTTCATTTTTCTCCATGAGGAACGACCACATGGGTAGATCAGGCGCAAATCGCCGTACCCCATAACATTGGATACTATACCAGGCCGAGTATCATTTCAGAAGCGGTCTTGCCAAACTAGGGGTACGGGAACGTCGACGGGAGTATATACATCGAAATTTTAATATTTTATTGGTTAGTGTTTTTAATTATTTTTGGACATAAATATAAGATTATTAGAATTTTAGGTACTGATAAATTCAGACTTTCACACAAAAAATAAATATTAAAATACGTAGAGAAAATAAACAAACACAAATGATTCAAAATTTAGCCTGCAAGTTAAAATATTACATTCACTAGAACAAATTAACCACAATGTTTTTCAAACACGTCTAGTGAATTACGAAAAATAAATCGCGAGTTCCACAACACGATGCACTATATCATATCATATCATTGACAAAACGAAGACCTGATAATGTCATGAATATCACAAGAGATTAAAAGTTAAAAAAATAAGCCTGATAGATCTCTTGTGCAAAGCCGAAAAAAATTATGTCTCCTCTTTGTGACACCACCAGGGCCCAAGCTAGTGCTTGAAGAAAATAGGCGTTGCCCTCTTATGGAAAACCAATCAGCAACTGCTATAATAATCAAATTAAGCCATCTATAAGAAAAAAAAAAATCTTTGCTGCACGCTCAAGCATTCTGATTCACGCCACAACTTCGTATTGCCCAAGACAAAGTATATATATACTCCTCTCCTCCTTTCTTTTTAATCACGTTGTTGCTCCTCTTGATTTCCAAGATGTAAATTGCATCATTATCTCTTTCTTTCCAAGTACAAATCTATTAAGAAAAGGAAACCATATAATAATAATATTCTATAAAAAATAAAACAACTAAAAAAAATATATATGTATATAAATATACAAAAAAAAATTAAGAAATCAGAAAAGCAAAATAAAAAATAATTTAAACATGTATTCAACAAAGATAAATAAGATATATAATAAATGGAAGAAAGAGGGGTCAATCTGAAGGTGGCCCCAACAGTGACAACGATGAGATGTCCACTCGAGAAGATAAAGATCCCTACCACAGTAGGAGATCTTTATTGTTCTGTCCGGTCCATAAAAAATAAGCCAACTCGTCTCGAGCTCGAAAACGTGGTCGATACCCGTTCGACCTCATCATCACAGAAGCACCTCCACGGCTAGACTCGTGAACACGAGCCGGGAAGAATGACCCCAGGCAGACCAAGGCCTAAGCGCGGGAAGCATACTATGTCGAAAAACGAGTGTTGAACGCAAATTGCCGACCTGCACCCTCAACGAGCTCGAATACGAACTCGTTCACCGATGAGGATGCTTTTATGATCGACCACCCGCACTCAGACGTGCTAGTGCTCACGACACTGATCTTCAAGATTAACGTGCACCAAATTCTCGTTGATACAGGAGCATTTATTAGTATTCTATACTACAATACGTTCAGAAATATGAGGATCGACTCAAAAAATGTAAAACCATGTCAGGACAGGATATAAGGTTTTTACGGACGAACAACCCTCTCCATGTGAGAAATAATGTTGTCGATCGGGTTCGGGGGAAATGATTCAAAGTAAGGACTATCCTGAAGACGTTCAAAACAATCGACCGCCAAAATGATTGCAATGTCATACTCAAATGGACAACACTCTACAAGCTCCGAGTTGCAGTTTCTATCTTTCATTATGCGCTAAAATTTCAACCTCCGACGGTCCGAAAACCCACTATGGAGACCAGCGAGAAGCTCAGGTATGTTTGTATTGGTCATTCCACGATCCGAAATCCATGTTGCAAACATAACTGACGAAGGACTTACTAAAAAGACTGAGGCCAAACAGGCGTTGCCTGAGTCACCATTACCCGAACGAATGATTTCGGGCACTCCGACCACCGACCTCGGACAGAAAGGTCACGCAGCTCTACATTCGTTGACATCGAGCGACATCAGCTCAGAATTGATGAAGGTCGAAGAAAGAAGTTTGTCAGGAAAACAAAGAAGCAGACCTGACAAGGAGCCGATGAGAGAGGAAGACGACCTCCGCCATAGAGAACTAAATGAAGATAAACAAGGAACCAAGCGGGCTGAGCCAATGGATGAGGTGGAGATTATAAACGAACCAAAGAAGCTCCGCATAGGGAGTAAATTGCCCGAATCGATCCAGACCCAGCTCATTCAATTCCTTAGGGAAAACGCAGACGTATTTGAGTGGACCTATGAGGACATGATCATGATTGACCTGAAGGTCGTCTTCCACAGGCTGCATGTCGATCCGACAATCAAGCCACGTGGCCTACTAAAATTGGGTAGTTGGGACAATACAAACGGACAGTCTAGGCAGCTGACTCCGGCAGTCTTGGGAAACAAAAATCATCTCACTACATAAGAGAGTGAAGTATGCCAACTATTATATTACACACTCTATATATGAAGGATCTTTATTTATCGTTAGTTAATCTAGACCAACGTATTTATTTTGTTGATGAGTTGATTCATGTTATCTATGTTTAATATTTATGAATTATGGGTGTTTGATTTAGTTTGGCCAGCTACGTTGAATATTCATAGTTTAATTGCTAGATTCGAGGCTTTAATCCGTAATTGTTATTGTCTCGTTTCGTTAGTAGTAAACTAGGGTTCGTGCATCTCTAGGGTAGCTTGAACATAAGTTAAATGGTCCGAGCTTTTGCGTCCATTGCTTAGACTGATCTATTTTCCTAGAGATTAATGTTGCTAGTGAATTAAATCTAGATAACTTATTCTAGGTTGTCCACTAGTTAGGTTTAGTCGAAGAGCTTATTTAGATTAAATATTCAGTAAGAGAAAATTCGGTTAACAGAGCTTGTTGTTAGCTAGGGTCAGTAATTCATTAGCAATTTAAAGGAGTCGAAATTGATTAATGGTAGATTTAGATTGGGTGATAACTGAACCGAAAACTAGACTTCTCTTAATTAATTTAATTTTTATTTTATTTTGTTATTTTCATTTTTAGTTTTATAAAATCAATCCCCCCATCTTTATTTTCTTTCTTAGTTTTTATTCGATTAATACGAGAATCTCACAACTTAGTTTCTGCTCCTCGTGAGATCTACTCTTGCTCGCCGCTACTACTAGTTAGTAGAGCAAAATCTTTGCAAATTTAAATTTGCCGTGGAACGACGCGCAGTAAAATTTTGGCGCCGTTGCCGCGCGTCATTCCACGGCGAATTTAAATTTACAAAGTTTTTCCTCAACTAACCTCTACTAACTAGTAGTAGCGGCGAACAAATGCCGATCCCACGAGGAGCAGAAACTAAGTTGTGAGATTCTCGTATTAATCGAATTAAAACTAAGAAAACAAATAAAGATGGGGGATTGATTTTATAAAACTATAAATGAAAATAACAAATCACCCAATTTAAATCTACCGTTAATCAATTTAGACTTCTTCTTTAAATTGCTAATGAATTACCGACCCTAGCTAACAACAAGCTCTATTAACCGAATTTTCCCTTATCGAATATTTAATCGAAATAAGCTTTTCGACTAAACCTAACTAGTGGACAACCTAGAATAAGCTCTCTAGATTTTTAATTCACTGGCAACATTAATCTCTAGAAAAATAGATCAGTCTAAGTAATGGACGCAAAAACTCGGACCATTTAACTTATGTCCACGTTATCCTAGAGATGTACGACCTCTAGTTTACTACTAACGAAACGAGACAATAACAATTACGGATTAAAGCCTCGAATCTAGCAAAACTATGAATATTCAACGTAGCTGATCAAACTAAATCAAACACCCATAATTCATAAACATTAAACATAGATAACATGAATCAACTTATCAACAAAATAAATATGTTGGTCTAGATTAATTAACGATAAATAAAGATCTTTCAATTCATAGACAAATCGAAGTTATGGTTCAAACATCCCCTCAACCTGAATAAAAATCTAGCCTAACATACTAATAAAAATAAATAAAAGATAGATAAAAAAAAAAAATTAATTATCTCCCTCGTGTGCGGCTGCGACTTCCCTTTGCGTGTGTAACCATTCTCTCCTTGGTGGCTTCTTTTCTGTCTGTCTGTCTGCTCTTTCTTCTCAGCTCGCGGCTTTCTCCTTTTTTCCGTCAAATAAGAGCACCCACAATGCTTTGGGTTTCTTAGAAAAAAGTTACATGCCATGTAAGGAATAGACCTAGTCTATAAAAAAGTGTTCTCCAATGCAATTAAAAGTGGAACTAGTCTAGCTTATGTGGCAATAAAAAAATGAGACCTAGTCCACACTTGGGTCTATTTTAGACCCAAGTACAAACCCAAGCACTCATCATTTATTCCTCATTTATTTTTTCTTTTAATAAATGAAATATACTAGAGCATTTTTATTGGTTGTCATGTATTCTAGACCTAGTACTTTTTGGTTTTGCATTGGATAGATTTTGATTTTTTTAGTTTAGGTTTGTCCATGTCATTATGGACTTAAGTCTATTTATTTGCCACATATGCAAAAAGAGACCCAAAGCATTGTGGATGCTCTAATGCCTCTCCAAAAAAAATTTCCCTCAAAGACTCCAAAGTTAGCCCATATAATGCTTGCAATCAGTTTCGTCTTTTCCCGTAAGACTCCCAGTAAAATCAAATTCTTCAATAATATAATTTTGCTTTTATTTTTTTCTTGAGAATCAATTTAGCTGCCAACTTCACTCCTAGGCCCAACACATTGAGATATCTTAATTGGGCTTAAAAATATTAGGCCAGTTGGGTCCTAGGTGGGGCTCGTAATAGGTGCACCAACTTTCTTCCATCGCTTCATGTCAACAAAATATTGAAATTAAACGCAAATAATCAAAACAAACGAATCCATTCAAAAAATAAATAAGTCGAAAAAATATAAATATGTAACTAAATTAAGTGTATAAAAATACACTATTAAATATATAAAACATGCACATTTTTCGACCTATCAATATACACTTACATAGTGTTCATCAATTTCTACATATTGCTAAAATAAACATCAGAGGCTCTTTACCAGAAAACTCCTCTGATGTCGAGTTTTTGCAGGTATTGAAGGTCAACCATCGGCAAGGACGACACATCGAGGTCGAACCAAGCCAGTCGAGGTCTTTACATACCAATATCTCATCAATTTCAACTATTAAATTTTAAATATTATTTAATTACAAAATTTAAATCACTCATTCAATCAACTTTATTCAAAATAATACACTTTATCGAACAAAAATAGGGTCGATTCATATCCTATTATGCCTTGAGTGAAACTTTGAGTTTGTATTTAAGTAATATTTAAACTATAATGATTACTTGTACAAAAAAAAAA